TTTCAGATGTTTCATATGGGTGCCCCAATCCTTGCTGTAAACCAAGATGTCATCGAAAAATACCAGAATAAATTGCCTTAGGAAAGGCCTGAAGATGTCATTCATGAGGGCCTGAAAGGTGGAGGGGGCGTTGGTAAGACCAAACGGCATAACCAGAAACTCCTAATGGCCATTGTGGGTCCTAAAGGCTGTTTTGTGGATATCAGCCTGGTGAACCCGGATCTGATGATACCTGGACCGCAGGTCTAGTTTGGAGAACACTTGTGCTTCCCTTAACTTGTCCAGCAGTTCATCAATGAGGGGTATTGGGAATTTGTCCTTCACTGTAATCTGATTCAGGGCCCGGTAATCTACGCAAAACCGTCAACTACCATCCTTCTTCTTCACTAGGAGTACGGGGGATGAAAACAGGCTGGTGCTGGTCTGTATATGCCCCTTGTTCATTAGCTCTTTTACTGCCTTCTCAATTTCCAGCTTTTGGAAATAAGGGTATCTATATGGCCTCACATTGGCTGGTTTGGAATCTGGTAAGAGGGGTATCTGATGGTCATGGGCTTGGGGTGGAGGTAACTGGTTCGGTTCCTTGAATATGTCACCAAACTGATCRAGGATCGATCTTAGGGTTTGGTGTTGGGCTTCAGTGGGTTGGTCGCAGTCTTGATTGTTTAAAATTGGAACTGTGGGCCGAATGCCTAAGTGCATAAACAAGGGCTGTCCAGTATCCTTGGAGGCCCGTATTATAGAGGCTAAAGTATCACGTCGGGGACTAGGGGGCCACACCCCTTGCAAATGGCAGGTCTGTTCATTTTGGCAAAAATCCATTGTCATTCTGGCCCAATCACACAGTGCAGGACCTAGGCCACGTAACCAATGGATTCCCAAAATAATATCAGCCCCTAAGAATTCCAATGGGTGGAGATCTACCACGAAATTATGGCCTTGTACGAGGATCCTTTCCTTCTTACATACAYCATCACATAACATCTGATTCCCATTAGCCACATGGATTGAAAAGAGAGGAGTGGGGTGTATAGTCATACCTAGTTGCTTTGCCAAACGGCAAGTGATGAAATTCAAAGTTGAGCCACTGTCAATCAAAACCATCACAGATCGTCCAGCCAATCTTCCTTCTACTCGCACGGACTGAAGAGG